GTGGCCAAATCGGTAAAGGCACGTCAAGCTAAATGATTGTTCCGTACGAGATACAGGTTCGGATCCTATCGGAGGACGAATATTTTCTGAGAAAATTTCTCGGACATTCAGGACGATAAATATTGTTTAATATTTGTATCTATAAAAAAAATGTTTAGACATAAAAATATATTAAAATAATTGTCGTAAAGAAGTCCATTTCATAATGTGTGACGTTATATATATATATTCCATATAATGATTTTAAATAAAATATATATTTTTATAGATAAATTTCTTACATTCAAAAAATAAATATTGTTTAATATTTTGTATTTATTTTTAAATTTTTAACATAAAATATATTAAAAATAATTGTCGTAAAACAGTCCATTTCATAAAGTCGGATTATTATATATATATATTCCATTAAATAATGATTTTAAATAAAATATATTTTTTATATAAAAATATATATTTATATAATTAAGAATTTTATATTTTAAATAACGATAAATATTTAAAAATTAGCTATATATATTTAAAATATAAGAAAAATTATATATCTATATAATAAAATTTAAATATTTATATTTTTAAATAAAATAAAATATATTTGATAAGATACATTCAAATAAAATAAAATAGAAAAAAACTACACACAATATATATATGTAAAATTTTATTATATATATATTAAAAAGATTTTATATTGATATATTTAAAATATAATTTTATATAAAAATTCAATTAAAAAAATTTTGATCTATCTTTCTTCTGATATATTTATATATTATATATATATTATATAAAAAATTTTTAATTTTTTTTTTTTTTTTAGAGACACAGAGAGATATATTTATATATATATATATATATATATATATATATATATATATATATAAAGTTTATTTTCGTTAAGTATTTCTGTTTATGTCCCATTTTTTTTCTTTCATTTCTTGTCTTTTTTTTTCATTATTTTTTCTTTATCCATTTTATATATATGTGTGTTTACTTTTGAAATTTGTATGTTTTCTTTATTTATCAGCTTTTTAGATAATAAGTTTTAGTACGTGACAATTTCCATCATTAACCACGATAATAGATAATATTTTTTCTCCTGATATATTTTTTAATAAATCACGTAAAATAAAAATCAAGTATAGTAAAATAAACGCCAAACTCGTCTACAGCAAGAAAACTTGTATCAGATTTCCGATTAGCCCTTCAGGAGTGACGGCATTTTATCTCCTTCTTTTCGCTTATCTTGTCTTGATTTTACCCAATAAGATATCAGGATTTAACCCCAATGAATAACGGGTGATAACACACGCCAGGGAATCAGCTCATCATATTTATATTTTTTTTTTGTTTTAATTCTTTTGTTTCTTTCTTTTTTCCTTTTTTTTATCTTTCATTTTTTTCTTTTTTTTAATTCTTTTCTTTTATTTCTTTTTTTTATTTTAAATTTTAATTTATATTTTTTATTTTCCTTTCTTTTTTCTTTCTTTCTTTTTATTCTTTTTTCTTTCTTTTTCTTTTTTTTCTTTTTTTCTTTTTTTCTTTTTTCTTTCTTTCTTTTTTTTTTTCTTTCTTTCTTTTCTTTTTTTTTCTTTTTTTCTTTTTTTCTTTTATTCTTTCTTTCTTTCTTTCTTTTTTTCTTTTCTTTCTTTTTTGATTTCTTTTATTCAATTCTTTCTTTCTTTTTTCTTTATTTTTTCTTTTTTTTATTTTTTTCTTTCTTTTTTTTATTTTTTTTTTTCTTTCTTTCTTTTCATTTTTATTTTTTTTTATTTTTTCATTTTCTTTCTTTTCTTTCTTTTTTTCTTTCTTTCTTTTTATTTAGAAATTTTTTCTTTTTTTTCTTTTTTCTTTTCTTTTTTCTTTTTTTCTTTTTTCTTTTCTTTTTTTTTAACAATTCTTTTTTTTTTCTTTTTTTTTCTTTCTTTAATTTTTTTTCTTTTTTTTTTTTTCTTTCTTTCTTTCTTTTATTTTTTCTTTTCTTTTTTTCTTTTTTTTTTTCTTTCTTTTTTTTTTTCTTTCTTTTCTTTCTTTTTCTTTCTTTTTTTTTTTTTTTTTTTTTTTTTTTTTTTTTCTTCTTTTTTTTTTTTTTTCTTTCTTTTAAAAAATACTTTTTTTTTTTATTTTTTTTTTTCTTTCTTTTTATTTTTTTCTTTTTTTTTTATTTTCCTTTTAATTTCTTTTTTTTATTTAATTTTTTCTTTCATTTTTTTTTTTTTTTTTTTTTTTTTTTTTTCTTTCTTTCTTTCTTTTTTTCTTTTTTCTTTCTTTTTTCTTTTCTTTCTTTTCCTTTTCTTTTATTCTTTCTTTCTTCTTTTTTTTTTTATTCTTTTTTTCTTTCTTTTTATTTTTTTTCTTCTTTTCTTTTTTTTTTTTTTTTTTTTTTTTCTTTACTTTTTTTCTTTCTTTTTTTTTTTTTCTTTCATTCTTTTTTTTCTTTATAATTCTTTTCAAACTTTTCTTTGCTATTTTGTTTCTTTCATTCTTTCTTTCTTTTTTCTTTCTTTATTTTTTTTTTTTCTTTCTTTCTTTCTTTCTTTCTTTCTTTTTTTTTTCTTTTTCACTTTTTTTTTTTTTTTTATTTTTCATTTTCTTTTTTTTCTTTCTTTTTCTTCATTTTCAGTCTTTCTTTCATTCTTCCTTTCTTTTTTTTTTCTTTTCTTTTTTAAATTTCCTTCTTTCTTTTCTTTTTTCTTTTCTTTTTTCTTTTTTTTTTTTTTCTTTCTTCATTTTTCAGTCTTTCACTCATTCTTTCTTATTTTTTCTTTTTTTTTCTTTTTTTTAACTTTTCCTTCATTTTTTTTCATTTTTTTTTCTTTTTTTTTTTTTCTTTTTTTTTTTTCATTTTTCTTTCTTTCTTTCTTTCTTTTTTTTTTCATTTTTCTTTCATTTTTTCTTTCTTTCATTTTTCTTTTTTTTTTCTTTTTTTTTTTTTTTTCTTCTTCTTTCTTTTTTTTTTCATTTATTTTTCTTTTTTTTTTCATTTTTTTTTCAGTCTTTCCTTCATTTTTTTGTTTTTTTTTCTTTTTTTTAATATTCTTTTTTTTTCAAAAATCTTCTTTTATTTTTTTTTTTTTTTTACTTTTTCATTGAAAAACAATCTTTCTTTCATTCATTTTTTTTGGAATTCTTATATATTTCCTTATTTCTTTCACTTTTTACATTTTCTTTCTTGCTTCACTCTCTCACTCTTTCCCTCATTAAATCTTTCTTTTTCAAATCTTTCAATTATTCTTCATTTCTTTCTTTTATTTCTCACTCTTTCTTTCTTTCTTTTTTCTTCCCAATTTCATTCATTCTTTTTATCATTTTCTTTCTTCATCTTCTGCCCTTTTTTATTTATTCTTTCTTTTTCATTCTTTCACTCATTCGACATTTCTTTCTTTTTTATCATTTTCTTTCTTCATCTTTTTCACTTTTTCATTTATTCTTTCTTTTTTCAATCTTTCATTCATTCGACATTTCTTTCTTTCACTGTTCACTCTTTCATTATACTTTTTTTATTTTTTCTTACTTTCACTTTTCAATATTTTCTTCATCCTTTCTTTCTTTTTTACAATTCTTCACTCTTTCCTTCTTTCTTTCACTTTCACACCTTCTTTTTTTCATTACTTTTTCACTCTTTCTACCATTCATTCTTTCTTTTTTCAGTCTTTCACTTATTCTTCCTTTCTTTTATTTTTCACGCTTTCTTTCTTCGCTTTTGCATTCATTTTTTCATTCATGTTTTTATTCTTTTTTTAAAATTTTTCCCTCGTTTCTTTTTTTACCATTTCCTACTTCTTCTCACGTTTTCACTCTTTTTTCCACTTTTTCATTTTTTCTTTTTTTTTTCGCTTGTTCTTAATTCGTTTCATTTTTTTACTCTTCTTATTTTCTTCTTTCAATTTTTCATTCTCTCATTCTTTCTTCTTTTTTCGTTTTTCGCTCTTTTATATTTCCCTTTTTCCAATTTTTTTCACATTTTTGCCTCTTTCTTCCTTTCTTAAACACTATGTATTTTTCATCTATTTTATTCATTCTTTATTTCATGAATTATCATTTGATTCATTCGCATTACACTTGCATACACATTTTATTTATTGAGATATTCATTGATTTATTCATTGATTTATTCGTTCATTCATTCATTCTTTCCTTCGTTCATTTATTCAATGATCGCTTCTTTCTGAAACATTTATTTATTTCATACTTCATTTTGTATTTTATTCACTTTCAAGGTTGGGTGTTTTGTATTCTAGATTTCATTCATTTTTGTTTCATTCTTAAGATTTCTTTATTTCTATTCTCATTTATTCTTTCCTTCCTGTTTTTTCGTTCATTCATCTCTAAATCTGCTCTTTGTTTGTATATTTTACTTTCTTATTTGTTTGATATGTGTTCTCCATTTCGTTCATTCTTCCTTATTTATTTTCTTTCTTTCGTTCTTTTTTTTTTTATTTGGTCAATATTTATTTTACTCTTCATTCATTCATTGATCATCTGTTTTATTTTTTTTTATATCAGTTTTTATATTATTTTGTCGAGTCGCATCTTTCTTTTTCTTTAAATCACTCATTGATTTTTTGCGTTGTTTCTTAAAATTAATTCTTTCCTCGTATTTTCTTTCTTTTCTTTCTTTTTTTTCTTTTCTTTTCTTTTTTCTTTCTTTCTTTCTTTTCTTTCTTTTCATTCCTTCTTTTCTTTTCTTTTCTTTTCTTTCTTTCTTTCTTTCTTTTTTTATCTTTCTTTCTTTCTTTTCTTTCTTTCTTTCTTTTCTTTTCTTTCTTTTTTTTTCTTTTTTTAGGTTTCATTTTTTTTTTGCATTTCTTTCTTTTCTTTCTTTTCATTCCTTCTTTTCTTTTCATTTTTTTTTTTTTTATTTTTTTTTTTTTTCTTTTTCTTTTTTTTTCTTTTCTTTCTTTTCTTTTCTTTCTTTCTTTCTTTTTTTCAAATGGTCTACTCGTATTCTTTTTTTTACCCTGCATTTATTCTGTGCTCCTATAAAAATCCTCTCTTAAATTAATTCTTTTTTTTCGTTTCTCAATTTCTTCGATTTACACCAGTCTCCTCTTATTTCCATTCATTAATTCCTGCAGTGATAGTTTATTTTTTGCCTTTTTTAAAACAATTTTTTTTCAATGAGGTTCACGTACAAGGCCCGGGAGCCAATCAAGGTAGAGTGTTGAAGTAAGAGGCAGTTAATATAGATAGGCAGAGAAGTTAACGGTTAACCCTGGCCCTGAACAATTTAAGATTGTAGTAATCGATGAAAAATCTTGGGAATCGTTTCCACAGACCAGTGGAAAGAAGCTATTCGAGTGGAACTTACTTCTCTAAAAAAGGGAATACGGAGGGAATGTGGATGGTTTGTTCCAATGAGATTGGCGTGGTGGGTCCTAAACGGAAACGTTGGAACCAAGGAATGCAGTTCGTCTGAGCCCTTGCAACGGAAGTAGCAATAGAGTAGTGAGAGGCTTGCCATATCCGGTTTGTTTGTGTGTGTGTGTGTGTGTGTGTGTGTGTGTGTGTGTGTGTGTGTGTGAGAGAGAGAGAGAAGCGTGACTTTTCAGAATATCAAATTTTTCCATATAAAGAACTGGCTAATATTACCTTTATCATTTTCGACAAGATCCACTCAGCTATTAGCCTAATCTTGAGGAAATTTTGAACTGAACCCCTTATTTAATCTGTAATCATTTAAACTGTTCTGTTTGCGCTGACCCCTTCTATCTCGGGATATCTCATTTAGTTCTTATTTAGTACGCCTCATCAACGAAACATGTCAAAATAGAGGTTTTGAAAATGTTCTCTCTCTCTCTCTCTCTCTCTCTCTCTAACACACACACACACACACACACACACACACACACACACACACACACACACACACACACATATATATATATATATATATATATATATTAAAAAGAAGAGAGAAGCCGCAAACGTTTTTGGTTGTAATGTGGATTTTCTTTTTAAAATATTATACTTTATTTTCCATAATTTCCATTATTTTGCTACACGTGTTTCCGGTCTCGCGCCCTTCATCAGGCAGTGCATGGAGATTTCCACATATTATTATTAATAATTAATTTTTCCTTCATGTTTTTCGATGTTAAATATTCTCGATATGAGGCATTGTCTTTTTTTTTTGTGTGTTAGTGACCCAAATAAACTTTTACTGCCAGTTCAAGTAAGACATTGTTTATTGCAAGACAAATATTGTAGTGTTCATTATATTCAAAGGCAAAATTGTAGAGTTCATCCGAAAAATAAAATTCTTACTTGTGCATTTAAGAACGCTGAGTGAGTGCGTGATCACTGACACCGTTTAAGGGCAGGTAACTGGTTTCAATTTTTCATAAAGACTATAAACAAAATTTTTATTTTACACACATTTATATATATATATATATATATATATATATATATATATATATATATATATATAGAGAGATATATAATAGATAGATAGAGACGGTGGAATAATGGATAGCGGCTTGGATTGAGGAATCGCAGAGCCGAGTTCGAATTCCAGTCGAATCCATTACATTCACTTACCTGCTAATACCCTTGGGAAAGGTATGAATCCTTTCTTCCCCTCCAGCTATGGGTAAAATAGCAGGACAGACTGGGTTCTATAGCCTTGATGGCAACTGGTCTAGGAGAAGGACAACTCTGAATTCAAAACCTGCGGAGGGTCGTTTGGGGACCTTGTGGCACTCAGTGCACCAGGTCTCTGTATTCGTCCCTTCAAAAGTGTGGATGGTCCTGCACGAAGCCTTCACCACTATAATCAAATCTCGTGTGCTGGTGTCGGGCTGTCGATTTCCGGGACTATATATATATATATATATATATATATATATATATATATATATATATATATATATATGCGATAGTTATTTCGTTGTCAGCCTTATCATATCATTTTAAATTCACCATAAGCTCCAATAGATATATATATATATATATATATTTTATATATATATATATATATATATATATATGTATTAATTCCAACTCGAACCTTATCATATCATTTTAAATTCACCATATAAGCTCCTAATAATATATATATATATATATATATATATATATATATATATATATATATATATATATATATATATATTAATTCCAACTCGAACTCCTCAGGTGCAGGTTAATCGTCCTTTCATAAATGCCTTTAAATATCAACACGCTCGCTGTGAATAACCTTTCTCAACTAGCTTAATCGTGATAACTGATAACAGCGGCCCCTATGGTTGTGACATCGTTGTCTGCACATAAAGGTCTCACCAATATTCATTATCTTTCCCTTCAGGGATGAGGGCTAAAGTGAAATGTATAAATATAATTAAATAAAGCATCACTTAGAATATTTCTTGCAGTTACATGAAAATTAATAGTCATTTGTTTGACATATATTTATCATTCTCATGTTATATATATATATATATATATATATATATATATATATATATAAATAAAATATGGATTATATCCGACATATTTTTATTTTACTCTCTTTAAATGTTTCGTTTTTTTTTTAATTAAACTTAATTTTTTCATCTACCGTCCTGAATATTCGAGAAAACTTGTCAGAAAAATATGCCTCCTTCATGATGCGAACCTGTATCCATTATGCTAAATCGTCATTGGATCTGAAATGCTTTACCGCTCGACCACGTAGGTCTTCCGGAATGCAGGTTCAAAGACTTTACGTAATTGTTCTTTTTTATAATATGCATGCATATATATATATATATATATATATATATATTATATATATTAATATATATGTATATATATATATATATATATATATATATATATATATATATATAGAGAGAGAGAGAGAGAGAGAGAGAATGACAGACAGACAGACAGACAGAGACAGAAACAGCGAGAGACTGATGCAGATGTAAAAAGAAAGAAAGAGAGAGAGACAAAATCAGTGAAAGGGAAATATAAAGAGAGATATTGTGGAGTATTTTCAACACTTGCATACTGACTGTGCGATGTTTCTAAAAGATTTTCAGTTTTAAAATAGAGGTTTTGGAAAATATTCTCACACATACACACACACAGACACATACACAGACACACACACAAACACAATACACACACACACGTGTGTGTGTGTGTGTGTGTGTGTGTGTGTGTGTGTGTTAACAATACATTATTAAGCCAATTGTATCGAGCACTTTAAAAAAAAATGATAAAAGAACTTTGGATTCGTAATCTAGTTGTTTTTTTATTATATATATATATATATATATATATATATATATATATATATATATATATATATATATATGCAAAAAAATTTCATAGATTTATGAAGCTGCCAAAATTCATGTATTTACTCATCAATGAAGGCAAGTTGACGTAATGTGTATTAACAAGAAAAAAAAAAACATTACTTCAATTTCATTTTCTATCTAATTCCATCCGTCATGTCTTCTAACCGATTATTCCTGCTTCAGTGAGTTGGTAATTATGACTCTTTCTTTTTCTCCCATCCTGCCAAAATTCTTCTGTTCATATGCAACTCAAATACTGCTATTCAAAGGGAATTTATTTGGAAAAAAATATCAGGTACGAGACCAATATTTTGCAGCATCGCCAAAGCATATAAGAGGATGGATTCCCTCCTACCGTTTGGGATCTTAAATGTGAAGATAAAGTTTGAGCATTTCTTCCGGTTTAAACTTGTTTGGAATCAGTTCGCTGTATGACGGCATTGAAGAATATTCGCTTTTTAAAATTGACTCCTACATCCAGGTTAATTATAAAGCAGTTGTCGGTCATATACTTTTTGACGTTAGATTTCGTTTGGTTGATTTTGTTTAGCTGCATGCCAACATCTATATGTGTTATTTAATACCGAAATTTGTATGCAATTTTATGACTCCAATTACATATATTTTGTACATAATTTTATTCTTTCCGAGTAAAGGTAGTTTTATTTTTTTTATTTTTTTTACATATATGGTTTGTAGATCATAAAATATATTTTTAGTAATTTCGCTGCAAAAATGTATTTTTGGCAAGTGTTTAAAAGTATAAAAATATTTTTAAACCCTTAACAATAATACATTTTCATAAAAAAAATTTGTTTTTCAATACAAAAAAGAACAATAAAAAACTGTCTTTTCCGGAAAAAAATAAAATTATTTAAAAATATAATAAATAAATTGGAGTCATAAAATTAATAATAATAATTTAATTAAATAACATATATAAACGTATTGACTTGGTAATTTGGGATAAAAATAAACATTTTTTATACTTTTTAGGGTCGTATTGAATGTCAGTGTGTTATAAAAGTTTCTTTTCGGTCAAAAAACTTATTGTTCGTCATTGTCCTATACAAATCTATTGTTGGTCATTTTAGTATAAAAAATATCGTTGGTATTTCTACTATAAATGTATTGCTGGCCATTATACTATAAATGTTTATTGTTGGTAATTTTACTATAAAAATGTATTTTTACAATTTTTTGGTGGTTATTTTGCTATAAAATTGTTATTGGTAGAGGAGACTGTTAGGATTCAGACACCAGTTAAAAAACCTTGACCTATATATTAAAATATCAACATCTAGTTTCGATAAAAAAATTACTTAAAAGAAAAAAATCTTAAAATTAGATAAGATTTTTTTTTAAATTATTGACTTCTAAAAAAACCTTAAGGGAACAGTAATTCAAAAGTAACATCTAAAATAATATACATCTAAAATAATGATACATATAATATGATAAATAAAATTATAAATAATGAAAGAATCATAAAAGTCAAGTTATTGAATATATTTAAAAAAATATTATATATTAAATATAAATTAATAGGTGACAAATATAAACTAATAAATAAATAAAATTAAAGCAATATATATATTTTGAAATATAAATTTTGTTTTAAATATAAATTAAAAATAAATTTCATTTAATAAATATTTAAATTAATTATTAATTATAAAAAAAATAATTAAAAAATTCAAAATATATAA